GGATGTTTTGCAAGTTTGATCAAGTAACTAAGAGTTGTCTACCCTATTTTACTCAAATATTTTTCTCATGTTTTTGACCCTTTTAACAGTGTTGTTTCACCATTGTGTTTGATGAACAACCTTGTGTTAGGATGTTAACGGGACGGACGCGGGTCATCGTATAGACCATGAAAGCAATAGTGTCAAGTGTCTTTAGCAATTTTCTTGAGGGACTTGATCATTTTTGTTTAGGAAACTTGATAGCGCCATCGAGGGACTATGATCATTTGATTTGTTTTTGTTTTGCCAAAGACACTTAACATGCAACCATGGCCCATTTTTGAAGGAAACTAGTGGATGAAACCCTAGGGGTGCAAGTGTGCATTGTTTGTTTTTCATGCATGTTTATCTTGAATTAGGTTATCTAGCGGTTGATTTTGAATCTTCGCATACAAACCCTAATTACTATACAATATATGGAAAGCGATAAATTGTGGGAATTTAAAGTCTAAGCTATTACAAATAAGTATCCGGGGATGGGGGTACAAATGTTTACAAATGGGGATGAGTCTTATCAGGATAGTAGTGTCCAAATATTATTTACAACCAAATCGAATCATTGCATTCTCAATGTGAAAATATAGCAAAGTATAAGGATAAAAGAGAATCAAAAGTATTGTGCCATGCACATGATTATTTACAAGTGATCAAAATATTAACCTAATGTATTATTTATTAAGTATTAATATTATTTTTGTATTTTTGTTAATGTTATATAAATAAAAAGGGTTTTAAAGAGAAAAGTATTTAACTTAATAAAATCTATTTTTTTATGTATTTCAAGTGTAATAAAAAAGTATTGTTACTAAAAATTTTAATATAAAAAAAACAATATATCATTTTTATTTAAAGGAATTAGTTTAAGTTAAAAAAAGAAAAGAAATAAAGTGGTCATAAAAATAAAAGTATTAGTTTGAAAACAAAGAAAAGAAATAAAATGGGCTTTGGGGGATGCTTGGCCCAAATGAAAAACAAACAGATTTTTAAAAAAAGGGGGTGCAGGCGCCAGCTTTAGAATTGGGCTTAAGGATTTTGTGCGTGGAGCAGGCCCAACTACGCGTTTGACAAATTTTTGTTGGGGTTTCAGTTTGTTTTGTTCAGAATAGGGTTTCACATAACAGCGCCGCTCTCCATCTTTTTCGTCTCTTCCTCGCTCTCAACAGAGTTTCTGATGCCTTCCACTCGCCTCAGCCGCCTGACGCCACCTCCAATCTCTCCTCTCTTCACGGCTTGCTCAAGGCCATGATTCAAAAGGTACGGTTTCGCTTTATCGCGTTTTAGGGTTCTGGATTCATGCATGTTTTTGAACTTTTACATATTCTGATCTTTATGTGTTATTTGTGTTTGTGTGAGGTGTAGAAAAAGGGGAAGAGGAATTTATACCTTGGTTCTGCTTTTTGGAAAGGAGAAGGAGAGTTTGGACAGGAGGCTTCTTAGGCGGCCAAGGCGTGGGACTGGTGATGTGCTTGCTGGCCTTATGGTATTTCGTATTTTTTGCTTTGAATGTTTAGTGATGATAACTTTCTGAAAACACTTCTGAATCTTCTTTTCTTCTTCTGATTTGGTTGCCTTGTTGTCGTTCTGATTAGGCTATGTTGATGAACTTTAAATCTCTTTTGGCTTGATTTGTTTTCAATGATGAGTATTAAACTGAGATACTTGTGCTTCTGAGTTGCTTATTTGTTTGATTCTGACTTTCTTCTTCTCTTTTGCTTGATTTGTTTAGCCTGTGATGAACATGTTCTGAGGTTGTTTTTGATATGTGTTTGATGATGTTTGACGATGAATTGCAATAGTTGATGTTTGGATTGCCTATGATGAACTTGGTTCTGAGGCGTTTGTTGGTGTTTTGATTTTGAAATGGTTTGGATTGAAGGCAGTTTTGAGGCTTGAATGCTTGTGCAGGTTTCAAGGTTTTGTTGTTTTGAAATTTTGAGGCAGGTTGATACAGTTTTGTGGTTTGGTAACTGGTATAGGCAGGCTTCTGGAGGTTTTAGCAGGCTTGTGCTTTTGTTGTTCACAAGTTTGAAGCAGGCTTGAGGCAGGTTAGCAGGCTTGTGCTTATGCAGGCTTCAGGGCTTGTGTTATGCTTGCTTAGATACAGGTTACAGGTTATGCAGTTTTTGAGCTTGTTAGTTTTTGAGAGGCTTTGATGCAGGATGTGTTATGCTTGGCTTTGGTGTTTTACTCTTCATATCCTCCAGATTTTCTGCATTTTCTTTTTGTGTACTTGTTGACAGCTTTTCTGTTTTGATATCTTTCTTGATAGTTTTTGACAGCTTCTTTGACAGCTTCTTTTGTCTTTCTTTGACAGTTTGGTTTGCCTAGTTTGGTTGACAGTTTTGTTTGCCTTTATGCATTGTGAAACTTGTTTGTTCAGTTTGCAATTTGGTTTGGCATTTTCAGTTTGAAATTATGCAGCCTTGTATTTAATTAATTCCATGCTTGCAAACAATTTTACTTTCCTCTTTGTGAACCAAGAAGAGGAATTTTCTTGTGTTTTGCAAAGAGGATGAGCAAAATATGATGAAAACCCAAAATAATCTGATTCCGGCCAACAACCTTTAATGATGAACTTTTATTTATCTGTCTGAGAATGCCTTTTTTTTAATTCATCTGTACTGATTCCTTTTTCTGTCTTTGCAGGTAAATACCAGTCGGGCAAAGGAAGCAGCGGTAGAAGATGAAGACTTCAAGAGACTTAGGATAGTTTTATTTTATTTCTAATCATTTGTAATAAACATTATTATAAATACTGTAAATAAATTTACTGTATTCAAATAACACTTGTACCAATAATTAAAAATAAATAAAAAGTCCTTTTGTCAGATAATTCTTTATTTGACTATCTATTTAAATATTTAAGTTTCTTGAATTAAAATAACTGGAAGTACATCCCAATTATTCTAACTTAGATAAAATAAATAATTAATAAACGTTGTAGTCTCGCAACCCCGCATTAACCAACAATACATTCGGCATTCCAAATAACCAAAAGCATTGCATAATTAAACAAACAAATGTCCACACGCCTTTTACCTCACTGATCAAACTAAAGCTTCAACTTTCAATCAGAAGCCTCAGCTGCTATCCCATATGTTTAGGTTTTGAGAAACAAACTGAAATCTTGAACAAGCGTCAAAGCTGTGTGACAGCCAATTAAGACACTGGATTCAAATTCTTCTGAGAATACGCGTGCAAACCCTAATTTTGGATTTATTGTCAAAGAAGCGTCTGCTTGATCAAACCCTGAGCCAAACTCAAACAAATCAATAGAAACCCTAATAATCTGCTTGGACTGATTCAAAAGTTAATGGAAACCCTAATTCTGTCTGACTGATAAGAAAAGTCTGTTTGACCGATTCTTAAGCCAATCTGAAAAATCAGGAAAAGCCTGAAGCTGTGATTTCTTGTGAAAAAGAGGAGGGCAAATTTTGGGGTACAACACCAAGCAAGCAAAAATACTAGACCTCTTAGGAATACCAAGCTTTAAATGAATTAAGTCTTCGCAAAAAATTGGGCAGAGTAATGGTTGTATACAGAGGAATTCTCAATCATAGACTAAGCATACAATCAGAATAACATGCGCACAAAGAAAATAAACCCAATGTCTAGGGGTGTGCAATATAACCAATAACTATAAACCAAATTCCTATCCAAATTAATCCAAATTTTAAAACACAACCCAATAGTATATTTCAAAATTGGTGGCCCATTTAATAAAATTATTAAAAAAAACAGTATCCATATTCTAAACCAATCGAGCTTAATGGTTACCACATTCAGATTCATAACCCTATCTCTTTCTCCCTTCTCCCAACTGCATAACAAAATTGAACAAAATTCAAAACCCTAATCCCAAATCCAATGAAATCGTGCTTTGTCTTAATACCTCAATTTGGTCAAATTCAGTGTATATTCACAGACCTCAATTCCTCTTAGTCGTCTCAAATTCCAGGTTTTTTTTCAAATCCTTCCTTTTATGTTAGTGTTTATGGTTTATATGAACTTCATTTTGCAGTTATTGTTAATATTACTGTGATTTTTGTTTGCGGCTTTGATTTTCTCAGCGATTGATAATCTGGGTTTTGCCACTATTTTGTTTTATCATTGAAATCTTTAATTTGTGTTTATATGAGGTTTTTCCACCATGCTTTTTCTTTGTTTTCAATGGATACAATTTTCTGATCTGTTGGTTTATACTCTGTCTATAGTATGTGTATTAACATGAACTGTATTGTATTAATGATTCTATTTACCATAGGTTTGTTTAAATTTTCTGATGTCCAGTACTTTGTTTAAACAAACGTCACTAAATGATTCTAAATTGTTATTCAGATCATGCTTGGACCTCAGATTATGGTTGTGCAGACAAGGAGGAAGAGTTTAATTGGCTAATCAAGTGAGTTTTATCCAATCCTAAAATATCAAGGATAAATTTCAAAATTTAATGAAAGAAGTTCTACTTTAATTTCCTTATTTTCTATTGGTTATCAAAATCACAATCTAAATCTTAAAATTTTGCGATTTTACAATCTCACTCTCCCCCAACGATCTAGATCTTAAGTAGAAACGTGTGTGGTAGTCAAATTGTGAGAGAGAAAATGGTAAAACCAATGATTATGTGTGATTAACCAATTCTGACCATAATCGACCATTTTCCGTCCAGCACCATTACAAGCCAAAAATGATAACTTCACATCAATTCCGTTCCTTAAGCAAATTCGGTTATTCTCTTGTCAAACCTGCAATGAATCAAGAATGATCACCAGCGTAACACAACTGCAATTTCAAACCATTTGTCTAAGTAAAAAAATATAGATAAAAATATACATTACATGTTTAAGATATGATCACTGGTATCAAGGAGAGTAATCTTGACATGGTCTTTAAGAGAAGGATATAACTTATATGAGTTACAAATGATGGATGGTCAAAACAACACCTCTTTTCTTGGAGTGATGGAGGAAACTACGGGCACCATGGCGATGACTCTTCTGTTGGATCTGGTGGCTGAATTCCTATGTAGACTCCCTGTCAAATCACTTCTACAACTCTGATGCGTCTGCAAATCATGGAATAATATAATATCCAATGATCTCAATTTCACAAGGAAACACCTTCACTTATCAACCAAACGCCAAACTCTCATCACAAGCACATTGAGCCACTCAAAAGAGTTAACTGTAACGTCTTATCCACTCGAATCTCTTCAACTTCACTCTATCTTCACCACTAATGCCACACAACTCGTTCGCTCTCTGATTAATCCACACTACTGTGATGATATCATTGCATCTTGTGATGGTCTCATTTGTTTAGCCAATAATTGTCGTGTTGTTCTCTGGAACCCTTTCATTAGAAAACTAAAGAAACTACCCTCTTTAGAAATTCCATAACGTCGTGGAAGACTAACATATGCATTTGGTTGCGATCCTTTCATTAATAGTTACAAGCTTGTTTCTATTTTTTGCTATGATTTTGAATCTCTTAGTATTGATATAAAATGTTGCAAAAGTCAGGTTAAAATTCACACTTTGGGCACACATTCATGGAGAAGAATTCAGGACTTTCCCCCTTGTATGGTCCCCTGTGGTGAACCGGGAATAACCATTAGTGGCACTGTTAATTGGTTTTCATATTCTGACGCGATTCTTAGTTCCTCGCAGGCCATTGTTTCTCTTGATTTGGAGACAGAGTCTTATAGACAGATTTCACAGCCGGATTATGGAATGCAAGTTAACTTGACTCTCGGTATCATGCAGGATTGATTATGCGTATTTTATCATTCTCACTCATTTAATGATGTTTGGCTTCTACATAAATGCGGAAATAAAGAGTCTTGGATTAAATTGATCCTTCTTCCTTACTTTGGTGATCATGATTACTTTATACACCATCCGAGGATAGTATATATTTAGGAGGATGATAATCATGTGCTGCTCTATTTTAAGGAGTTTTCTAAATTGAAGTGGGTTGTTTACGACTTCAAAAATGAAGTCGTAGAAAGTATCAAGATTCAAGACATGAGTTTGATAGATTCAGAAGTCTACATTGAGAGTTTGATATTACTTGGATTTTAATACTAGGATGAGGATGTTTTGCTGTTATGTGATTTATTTTATTTTATTTTATGTTTGTTTTTATTGTCCTTGTCTTCAGAGATCATTGTTAACTAACAATGGATATAATTTACACCTTGAGAAATTGTTTTGTTATGTTTATTTGTTTGTTAGAGTGGTTTTTCATGATGCATTAAAAAAAATTAGAATCACACTTTGTATTTGATGGTGCTAATTTTATTTTATATGATTGGAATTATGTTTGTCAATACATCTGCTGCCAACTGTTAGCTGTGCATGCAAATTTCATAATGTATACTTCAAATTAGCTGCTAACTGACATGAGTATGTTAGTTATAACACCATTGTGATGTGTTTGTTGACTTAGAAATGGCATTTTTTTATAGAAGATATTGATTTTTTTGTGTTCTGATATTGCAGAGATTAATTAGTTATAAATTAATTCTTTATCATGCTGACTCTGGTTGCTGTAATGTTTCCCTATATTTCAACATAATAATCAGTAAGCTGCAGCTTTTTTTTAATCTAATAATTTGTGTTAGCACACCTTCATTCCTTTACAATTTATTTGTGATAAACTTTGTGTAGGGTATTCTTTCATGAGGATCCATTTAAGTAATGATATGTATATATAACAGAATCACTTAATAAACTATCGGATGTTAATTTGTTGAGCCAGATTTTCAATCATACTTGCTAAATCTATGTAAAACATATATGATAAAATAGCTATGCTATTACAGTACAACCTATTCGCGATGATGGCCTCTTGTTCGGGCTCTGTGTGCCTCCCTGCACATGCTTTTGTAGGCAATCTCTTTGGATCAATCTTTTGTTCTCTTTCTTAAAATGATGGCAATTATCCCATTACTCTATGGTATTTACACAACTTGTCGGGTTTGTTTCCCACGATGTCTCCTTTAGGGATGAAAAGAGGGGATGTTTTTACATGGTCTTTAAGATATAATCAGCAATCTCCACATCAGCTGCTATTAGACCTGCCTGTTAAGCATAATTATCATTATTGTAAAGCTTATCATATCATGCACTTTAATAAGTATAAGAACAAAAAATTGATATCTCATTTTGATAGTGCACAACTATGTTCTCTGTAGTCAGTAGCCAGATTGGTACCACAAATAACTCCCTAGAGAAAAACAACTAAAAGCTTTAAAGATTAAGCCAGACTATAGAATTTAAAAAATATTGTCTAATTAGGATGGTGCACAAGGAGGAACCGCCCCGTGGTTAATAACTATCAAAACCCAAAACAAGTAAGACCCACTTTTTAAACATCTCTTTATCCTTGTATATATTCATTATTACAATAAGTATCAAGAGAAAGTAGATACAGACATGTAAAATAAGAATTCTAGTATCTAGCAGCTGCTTTCTAGCAGTTGAGTAGGAGGCGAAATTGTGTTGGTTAGAAATATTATGTATCCAGTATCCACGCTTTTACTTTCTCATCTCTGTAGTTGAGCTCTTGTTTAAAGTATCAGTCACAGCATTATAATGATCCAGAATGTTTTAGATAAATTGAAAACAATTTAGCATTTGTTTGACAAAAGCTAGGATTTCTAGCGTTAGAAAACTACGGTGTATGTGCATTGGGACACGAAAACTATTTTGATAACTGGTGGCATATATTTTTTTTAGCATTGTAAAAGTTTGAATTCACTTTGTTTTATCTTTTTATGAATGTTATTTATCCGCACCATACTGTTATCATTCTTCATCTAGGATTCATAGAATAATTATGACCGTGATTTCTGGTATGCTTAATATAACCGTGACATTTTAGCATACAACAGGAAGATGCTACAAGTTTAAGTGACTTCACATTAGTGTTATGATGTACCTATTCCTAGAACAAGGCTTATCAAGTTGATATTATAATAACTACTGTACCTATTGATAGAAACACATGACTGTTGTGTATGTAATTTGATTTATAGACCAATATCTAAAATGTCTGATTTGATCTTGTTCTTCTAATATGAAATTGTTTTCCTATATTTAACAGAATCAAGATGACTAATGTTAGTTACTTGCCAATGTATGCAACGTCCGAGAATACGGTTTCAACCCCTCCACCTACCGTCTCTAATGAAATGCCACCTCCTCACACTAAGAAGTGAAAGAACTGTTCAGAGGCTTGGAATCATTTCATTATATCGTCAGAAGAAGAACAAAAAGCTCCGTGCAAGTACTGTGACACAAAAATTAAGTATAATAATGGAACTAGTTCTATGCATGCTCATTTATCAAGATGCCTTGTTTACAAGAGACAAAGGACATCATCTTCTATGACAATTACTGAAGAACATGTTAGCTCTCCTTTAATTGTCAAGTTTGACCAAGAAGCTATTCGAAGAGAAATGGTTAAGATGTTCATTAACATGGAGATTCCTTTTCAGAAGGTTGAACATGAGTATTTTCATGAATTTATGAGTCTCGCTAAATTCAAGGCATGTATTGATGAGGATAGCATGGACTATAAAGGTTTAGTTTCTCTAGATGTTGAGACTCGTTGGAATTCAACTTACTTGATGTTAGTATCTGCATCAAAACATGAAAGAACCTTTGAAGAATTAGGTTTTCGAAATAAAAGGTATGTGAATTAATTTTGCAATCATATACATCTAGTTAGTTATTCTTTTATGATAGTTATAAAGGTATTAAAAACTTTATATATTAATAGAAACTAACACAATAACACTTTATTGTTGTTGCCGTGGCTATTCTACAATTATGCAAGTACATAATTTATCTTAGTGTAACAACTAATAGCTACAACAGCTAATTACATTGTCATAAGTTATAAAAGGATTATTGAAGACAATATGTCAACCATGTATACTTTCCTCTCCAAGCATTTAGTAAGAAACTTCACAGGACTAAACTATTTGACATTTTATGTTTTAAGGAAGAATTTATATAAAGTTGAATTGATGTTGAACATTTTATGTTGTGCTAGGTATGTTAATGAGTTGACAAAAAAGGGAAAAGGTGTCCCGGTGAAAGACGATTGGAAGCATATCAACTTAATCATTCCATTCTTGAAGTTGTTTTATGATGCTACTGTACATATATCAGGGTCTTCTTATTTGAAAAGCAATATTTATATGTTTGAGGTCTTGGGTATTGGAAAGAGCATTGTGGATATGTGTGCGTGTGAAGATGAACATCTACGTTCAGCATCTCAAAAGATGAAAAAGAAGTATGATAATTATTGGGGATCTCATGAGAAGCTTAACATGATGTTGTTGATTGCTCTAGTTTTTGACCCTAGACGCAAGGTTAGATTGGTTGATTTGATGGTACGACGATATTATAATAAGGTTGATGTTGATGCCTTGAAAGAAACCTTAGAGTCTTGATTGAAATCTATTTATGAGGAATAATGTACTGGGTTTATGCCTCCTCAAGGTAATCCACATGAGTCGCAAGTTTTTGGTAATGTTAGTCATCCATATGAAACTGTTGATTTTTATCTTTCAGAAGGGTGTGACAATGCAGATAATGAGTTAACCACTTATCTTAGAGAGAAGTCAGAGCATAACATGGAGATAAATGTTCTCGAGTGGTGGAAAGTAAATTCTGGTCGTTATCCCATCCTTGCAAACATTACAAGAGACGTGCTTGCTATACCAATAAGCACAGTGGCGTCTGAATCTGCATTTAGAACAGGAGAAAGGGTGCTTGATCCATATCGCAGCTCATTAACACCAACAACTGCCGAAGCACTGATATGCACCCAGGATTGGCTCAAAGGAACACCTTCATCATTGATTACAAATAAACATTTTGATATTCTTGAGAGATTGGAGTAAGGTATGTTAACTAAGTATATTCGCTAATGTATTATCATTTATTATACTTGAGGCATAATGAAATGTATTTATATATTTTGTAGAATTACTTTATACAAAAGATGGTGCTAGTTGTTCAACCTCTTCAACCTCTGTTACGCTCGAAGAGGGCTTGACTGTAAAGAATTCTAAAGTTTTATATATGCATTTTCTTTCCACTCTTGAAATATAATTTCACTTGTGTCAAAGAATTTACCAACTATTTCACTTGTCTCAAATAATGAATTGTGGCTCTGTTGCAGACTTGATGGAAGTGTTCAGACAGTTGGGTTTTTGTCATTAGAGGGGAGAATCCTGATGGAAGTATAGGAATGAAATGTCTTCCAGAAAATTGTGTTGCTAAAGACAATCTTGAGAATCTGGCTCTTGATACCCCTATAAATTTACAATGTAACTTTAAGATTTTAAATCTTGTTAGGTTTGTGAATTAGTGAAGGATGTTGCATATTCCCTATATAATCAACAAGTATTGTGTCAAAGAATTCACCAACTATTTCACTTGTGTCAAATAATGAATTGTGGCTCTGCTACCATAATTTTTGAGAAATTACTTTACTATATCTTAAGGTAAAATCACATATCATATGTTTTAAAATTGTCAATGACCATAAATTTTGAGAAATGACCAAAATTTTTTTTTAAATTAGTGTTTTTAACATAAAATAATTTTAGAACTTTTAAAAATAAAAAACTATTTTTGATATAAAACTTTATTTTTTTAAATTGGTTTTAAAATTGATTTTTTTATAAAATTGATTTTGAAACTGGTTTTTTATAAAACTGGTTTTGAAATTGATTTTTTAAAGAAAATTAAAAACTGGTTTTTAGAAAAATCAGTTTAAAATTGTTTTTTTTTTAAACTAGTTTTTGTGAGAAACCGGTTCAAAACCGAACTGATCCACATATAAACCGATTTTAGAAATATAAACCGGTTTTAATGTAGTAGTTTTAAGATCCAAACCAAATCATATATATGGTTCAATTTGGTTTGGTTATTGATCCATGTACACCCCTACCAATGTCTTGGAGTAAAACCCCATGAACTTCAGACAAAACATCAACAGAGTCACAAGGTACCAAGGGTATCAAGGCTTCTAATCCTAAGTCCAAGAGGTCCAGAACTCC